TTAGGAGCATTGGATAACAGGTTTTTTTGGTGAGAGATTTGTGAAGAACAAGGCTGGAAAATTAATGGCAGGCAAATCTGGAGAAGAGGACATTGAAGAATTTCTTGTAAAGTGCACAGATCATGAAGATATTTGTCTTACATAGATGCCCATGGAGAGGGCATCCACTGCAGAGATGGATCTTGATAGTATGGTAGATAAGATGACTCATCTAGTAGATAATCAGTCAATCTCTTTTGCCAGCAGGCTTGCTCACTGGGCCTATGAGAAATTGAACATGGAAGCAGGGATGGAAACTATGAATGGGCACAGCATTATGACATTTCTCTCACCAAGGTTAGCATGTAATTTGGCACTATTTCCAGGTGTCTGGCTGGACTAGTAGCATAGTGATTACTTTGGACTCTTTTGAGCATAGAGTAAGCAATGTTAGTCTTTATAGGGACAGAATAATATTCTGGGGACCGTTTTGTCTTCCATGCCCCAACCATTTACATAATGAACAAAGCTTTAACCATCACCATGGCATCCCCTGCAATGTCACCTGTAACTAGGAAACATGTTTCACAGCCAAAGGGGTGTGGCAATAGAATCGCCCTTGGAATTCATGATTCTTACTTCATACCTCAATATTCAGAAGCAGTGGGCTTGACTGAATGATGGAATGGGCTTTATTGAATGATGGAATGGCCTGCTGAAGGTTTAGTTATTGAAGCTGAGAAACAATACTGTGTAAATAAGGACTACTTTCCTACAGGCTGCAGTGTATGCCCTAAACCTGCAGCCACCGTAACCTGATACATGAGTCCAGAAACCAAGACTCGAGAGTGTCTTGTACATGATGCATAATAATCCAATTGAAGAATTTTGCTTCATTTCACTGAAAGTTTGGATTTGGTGTGATGGTTAATGTGATGTATCAACTTGGTTGGGCTGTGGTGCCCATTTTTTGTTCAAACACCAGCCTAGGTGTTACTGTGAAGGGTTTATTTTTGTTTGTTTGTTTTTGTTTGTCTGTTTTGATGCGATTAACATTTAAATCAGACTTTTAGTAAAGCAGATTACCCTTTATAATGTGAGTGGGCCTCATCCAATCAGTTGAAAGCCTTTAGAGAAAAGACTGACCTGCTTCCAAAAAGAGGGAATTTTGCCTCCAGACTTTGAACTCAAGCTGCAACATCAACAGCTGTCAAAATTTACAGCCTGCTGGCTTGCCCTGAAAATTTCAGACTTGCCAGTTCCCTAAATTATGTGAGCCCATTTCTTAACTCTCGATCTCCTTTACTGTTTTTTTTCTCTCTGTCCCGTGTGTGTGTGTGTGTGTGTGTGTGTGTGTGTGTGTGTGTATTTGTGTATATATTCTCTCTTACATATATTTTTGGTTCTGTTTCTCTGGAAAACCCTGACTAATACAGTGAATTGGAAGATCCTAGTACCAAAGTAGACTAGTTTCATGAGAGAATATAGAGAGTCATAGTTCCTTATATTAAAAACTAAATATATATATAGAGAGAGAGGTGAACTCTATTGATAGGTTACTCTATTGACAGAAGTTCTTTAACATCTCGAAAGACTGGGTGTTGTAAATTAGAACTCGTTTGTCCTTTAGATACACTGTATACACAGATAAGTAAAAGAAAATGCACAATCATAAGAAACAATGGTGAATCTCGCCTCACTGTTAGCACACTGGCGTAGAGCTCTCTGCACCTCTCTTATCCCCTCCTTCCTTGAACTAGTCCACAAACACCATGCCATCCCCCCACAAAATAACATTTCGTATGAATTTTAACAAAAAGTTATTTACAAAATATGTCATTTTACTATCTCTAATTTTAACATATATCAGGTACTTCAGAACATCTAGAAGGAACAGACATTTCAAAAAAGCTTAGCGTTGTCAACTCTATAGAGAAGTAATAAAATGCACACACATAATGGATAGAATATGAAAATGTCTTGGAAATACGACCCTTCAGGACTAAGTAGGTCTCGCCCAACTGCGACAAAGAGGTCGCCCAGAATGTGGACCTGCCGGCTCCGTGGCCTAAACGGGCAGGCGACCCCGCTCCCCTGGATCACCTTCTTCGCCCTCCACAGCCTAACGGCTTCCTCCCTGCTTACCGCCGTCACTCAAAGGCGCTGAATCCCGGCAGCTCGGCGCGATCTTGGTCTGGGCCGGTAGGGTTGGACCGGGAGATCAAGGCTGGGGGAGGCCGCCGCTGTCGTCAGGCCCCCGAGGTGGGGTAGGAAGAGGTTCGCCGCAGCCTGAAAGCCTGGGCTGGGCGGGGGAGCCACAGTGAGGGCTCCGGAGCCTGCAAGGCGGAGGCCGCGGCCTGTCCTGGGACCAGCTCACCCCAGGCGCAGAGCCGAGGGCTGGGAGGGCTCCAGGGGCGCCGGGAAACAGGCCGGCTCCGGTCTCCCCGTGCGCTCTCAGCATCGTCAAAGTTTTATTATCCACGGAGCGTCCTGGAATCCACCCGATTCGGATACTGAGAAACAGCTGTATAACAACGCAAGGAATTTACAAAACAAGATGACAGTCAACATGTGTATATATAGCAAAAACCAACAATGGCAATTTCACAAAACTACGATAATTAACAAACAATAAATGTATTTTCTTGGTCTGGAAATAGTGTGAGCACACTCCTTTCAGATTTCCATCTACCTTGAGCTCAAACAATATTGGAAGAAAAACGACATCCCAACGACATCCCAAGTGTCCCGTCCTCCAAGGTCAGTTTGCTCTATGTAAACTTGATCTTCCTTTTCAGAAGGAACTGGAGTCTCTAAATTTGGGCCCGCTTGCCTGCAGAGCCACAGCAGTTCTCTAACACAGTATGTCGGAGGGCGCTCTTCACCTCTGTGTTCCTCAGGGTGTGAATAAATGGGTTCAGTGCAGGAGTGACTACGGTGTAGAAGAGAGCTATGAACTTGCCCTGCTCATGGGAGGTGCTCTTGGCTGGCTGGAGATACATTAAGATGATGCTCCCATAAAACAGAGACACCACGGCCACGTGGGAAGAACAGGTGTTGAGTGCCTTTCTCCGCCCTTCTGCTGACCTGATCTTCAACACAGCCCGGGCAATATGGCCGTAAGAGACCAGGATGAGCCCCAGAGGGAGGACAACAAAGACAAAGCTGGCCAGGTACATCTCCATCTCATTGAGGCTGATATCCACACAAGCCAGTTGCATAATGAGGGGCATCTCACAAAAGAAGTGGTCGATGCGATTGTTCCCACACAGTGGTAGGAGCATGGTGAGAGTGGAGCCCACCATGCTGGTGGTCAGACCTCCCAGCCAGGAGGCCAAAGCTAGCCCAAGGCAAAGCTGTGGATGCATAATGACAATGTAATGGAGTGGCCTGCAGATGGCAGCGTAGTGGTCATAGGACATGGTGGCCAGCAGGACACACTCGGTTGCCCCCAGCCAATGGGAGATACAGAACTGGACCACACACCCTCCATAGCTTATGGTTTTTTGTGGTCCCCAGAGGTTGGCCAGAAGCTGTGGGTCAATGCTCGTGGTGAAACTGATGTCCAGGAAGGAGAGGTTGGCAAGAAAGAAGTACATAGGCGTGTGGAGGTGCACATTCATAGGGGAGACCAGAATGATGATGCCATTGCCCAAGATTGAGACCACGTAAAAACCCAAGACAACTATGAAGAGGACAGCTTCTAGTGAGGGTCGTGCAGAGAAGCCCAGGAGGACAAAGACTTCTGGAGAACTCACATTGGCTATTTCCATCATTGTATGCTGGGGGTGGGGCAAAAGGCCACCTGTGGGAAGAACACAGGGCATACCGGGCATGAGACAAGCAATTACATTAGTTAGCAAACATTAAAAGTAAATTTTATTTCATTTTATCTTATTCTTTTTTAGAGACACAGTCTCACTGTGTTGCCTAGGCTAACCTCAAACTCTTAGGATCAAGCAATCCTCCCACCTCAACTTCCTCAGTAGGTGAGAATACAGGCACGCACTACCATGACTGGTTAAAAATAAATTTTATAGCCATTGTTTTCAAAAGCAGCCACTCAACAGCTCTGTGGATGGCACTGCATTATCTTCCTCACAGCCAACTTGGACTGTATAGTAAAAGACTAGGGGGTGTTCACTGTCTGGAGAAAATGGACATTTATGCAAAATCCTTAGCACTGTTTTTTTTAGATTGAAATATTGTAGTAACAACATCTACATGCAACCTAAATGTTTAACAATAAAGGGTTAGTCAGGTACAGAGTGGTCTTTCATGTGATGAACCACTGTACAGGCATTAAAATTGTGCCCTCTCAAATTCCACAATCATCTGCAATTTTTTTCTGTCATTAAATATGTCCAGTTTTTTATCCCTCCTCACCACCTCTGCTACTACTGGCCCATCTTGCCATCATTTATCATCTGAATTTTCATCTAATATTCTAACTCATCTCTCTGCTTCTCCTTTGCTCCCCTTCCAAGTACTCTCAAAAAAGTGTTGGGGCTCAGAAAATGATACCCCAACATGAAGGTCTCAGAAGCAAAAGTTTCTCTTTCTCCTGCCTTTTTGTCCCTGGCTCTTTCTTCCCCGAGGTTAGCCATAGAAATTCAAAGCCAGTCATGAAACCTAAAAATGTTACTCTAACTTTCCCTCCACCTTTCTATGTTAAAACCAGCCATAAATAAATTATCTGACCTACGTTACTGGATTGTAGATCATAAGACCTCCATTCCAGACAGGTCTTACTCCTTACCAAGAAAAAAGGAACACTGCTCAGAGAGGCCACAAAGAACCTCACAGATGGGTCTTGCTGGGCTTCTTCACTCAGTCCATCAGCATTTGATCATGCCCTTCGTGTTCAGTCTTATTTCTACATGGCTGTCCAAATGTCTTTGAACCTAAGCATAAAATTGGGAAGTTTTTCCTGTATCTTTGGATCCTCATCTAAAGGCTCCTCTGTCATGTAAAACTATGATTAAATAAATGTGTATGTCTTTTCTCCTATGAATCTGCCTTTTGTCAGTTGATTTCCGTGAAACTTCAGAGGACAAAGGTGAAATTTTCCCTCACTCCTACAAAAGGAATCAGAGGATTACATTAAAACATATGATCATGTCAGTCTGCTGCTCAACACCCTCATTGTCTTGGTACAAGGCTTGTAGCTGCAGTTTGCTATACTTACAGTGCTTTCTCCCCAAGACACCCACACACCCCCTTTCTCACCTTCTTCAGGCCATTTTTGAAAAGTCACCTTCTAACTGAGGCCCTCCCTCACTGTATTATATAATATTGAAAACCCTTACAATTCCCTTCTTTCTCTTTCCTGAATTATTTTTATATAAGGCAATAATCTTATAACAAATAAACTACTCTTATTTCTTTTGTCTGCTACCTGTCTCACTCCACTAGATCATAAATTCCATGGAGCCACAGTTTTGTATTGTTTACCTCTGGGTCCCCAGTGTCTAACCCAGTGTCTGATACACAGTAGTCCCTTAATATTCATGGACGTGCATCGTGAAACAGGTTGCTAGAAAGGTTCTGTGGGGTGGAAGAGGCAGGACTAGAGTAATATGAAGGCAGGTGGAAGGACTCAGCATAAACTTTCAGTAGTGTTGTCAGGAAAGAGCTCTTGGAACTGCCAGAGGCGTGCAGAAGGGTCTAGATATCCTCTGCTTTTGTACAGTTGGAATAAAACAAACACGATTTATCAGGGGCAGTGCATAAAGTCAGAAATTGGATAATTTCAGTGTGCTTCAGATGTCCCTGAAGACCTCTGGGGTCCTTCTTTGCAAAAACATTAATTCTAGCCTGTATTTTAAAAAGAAGAATCAATTTATTATAGTTAGGATTCACCCAAATTTGGGGAACAGAGCAGCTGTGAACTTAACTGTCAGCCTTCTTAAAATCCCAGAGAGTAGAATTTATCTATCCCTGTAACTGGAAGTCAATTAAACAAAATAGACATGAACAGACATGTGCATTCAGTTTTTAAAATACAGGTAGGTTTTCCATTGTGCATGTATAGAAATAAGGCTCAGAAAACTCCAGGCATTTGTTAAAATTCACATGTGGAAGCTGTCCCAGTGCGGACTTACTGTATCAGAATACTGAGACAATCATCTGGCCTGTATATAGTAGGCCAGGGAAGCATTAATACTGTGGGAGAAGGCATCCTGGAGAATTCCAACCTCCTCCAAATCAGGGAGGCAAGCCGGGGGCCTCCTAGTATTCCTAGTACTTTTGGGAGGTTGAAGTGGGGGGAATCACTTGAGCTCAGGAGTTTGAGGCCAGTTTGGGCAACACAGTGAGAGAGTGTCTTTACAAAAAAATAAAATGACCAAGTGTGGCTGTGTGTGTCTGTGGTCTCAGCTACTTGGGAGGTTGAGGCCAGAGGATGGCTTAAGCCCAGGAGATCAAGGCAGTAATGAGGCATGATTGTGCCACTGCACTCCAGCCTGGGCAACAGAGCAAGACCCTGTCTCAAAACAACAAACAAATCAGGGAGGTAGTTGAGACCTGTCAGAACGTGAGTGTTTTCATCATATGAATGTGAGAAAGAAAAGATGAACTGGGATTGGGAGAGTTAGGTACAACTGAGTCATGACACAGTCAAAGTGGGTGTACTGTATACAGAGTCACCGCTGATGAGCTGAAAAACAACAGGTTCAACTGACGACTGCATTATGACCCGTGGGTGTAAGTATTATGTCCCATCTGTGGAAAGATAAAAATTTTGTTGACTCACAGTTGATAACATGCAGAAAATGTATAAATGATGGTGAGAGAGGAACTACAAGATCACTCATGAGGTAATAGTTTAGTAGAATTTTTGAGGAAAAAGAGATCTTTGTGGTGATCTGATCTACTTCTAGAAATGTTTAGCAACTTATCCAAAGCCCCAGGGCTGCTTAGTCATACTGGAGCTATGCCGAAGATATTCAGATTCTTAGTACAAAAATAGTATTTTCAGTAAAGGAAGAGGTTTGCTTACCCACAGAGATTCACCAAAATTGTCACAATTAAAAACTTACCTTTCAAAATGCAACCCTAACCCAAACACTGTGCCATTAAGACAAAGATAGCATACTGAAGGTTAAGGAAACATCTTGCGTTCCAATTTTGTCTGAGTTAACTAGGCAGTCACAAACTGTATCCCAGAGCATAGGCAACCTGCTAAAATATCAAAGGCCACATGAGAAAATCAGATCACTTAAATGGATCAGTGCTCATCAGTTTTAACTGGAATTACCAGAAAGTCTGAGATCCCAGTTTATCTTAAATACCATAAAACCAACAACAAACAAATGACAAAATCCAAAATGTCACTTACTAATGGTGAGCTAGCAACATCATCTCCATTTATGCAGGGTGGAAATGTTGTAAAATGCGCAATATTTTATTAAAAAGACTGATAACAGTCATGAATTCAGTGCATGTGGCACTGAAAAAATAGATTAGCCAAGGGATTTTAAAGCCCCGCAAATAGTGGAAATCTCTAAGTCGGTGGTAGCAGACGTGTTAGATTCTGTTCAAATTCATGTCTAAAGGACACATTATTAAGTATTTAAATCACAATGGGATTGAGCTAGAAGAAAGCACTTAAAATATTTTGTGAGAAAATTGATAATCAAAGGAGTGAGAATGGCTCATGGTGTTTCCAGAATGAGAAATTATATGCAGACCCCAAAGGGTGAAGTGTTACGTAAAGTCCTTATAATTCTGAGGCATTGATTGTAAGCCCTGGAGCCTTCAGGAGGGAGCCTGAGGGTGATGGTATATATCAGGGGAGTAAAAGTGGAGGGAAAAAAGCTTTTGGGATTTCTTTCCCTATTGGATAATTATAATTTCATTGTATTACACACACGGAATTGTTTCTTTTTTATGACTAGAATATTATTTTAGGTTTGTATACTGCCAAACTGCTTACGGAGCGTAAGAATCAAGTCTATCATGTAGTGGGGGGGGATAGTCTGAGATATTTGCTCATTCTGTTAATTTTGATACATGCTACTACAGACTCTTTTGCTAAAAAAAAACCCATTGATTTTATTATTGGTGTATACCTCAGTGATGAGATAATGTTTTTCTTAATAAGTTAGATTTACCAATTTATTTTTATTTTGGTAAAATACCGATAACATATAAATTTATCATTGTAACTATTTTAAGTGTGCAAGTCAGTGGAATTAAGTTCTTTCACAAACTTTTTCATCACCTCTATCAAGCGTCAGAACTTTTTCATCACCTCTATCAAGCGTCAGAACTTTTTCATCACCTCAAATGGAAAACCTGTAGCCATCAAGCAGTCAGTCTTCATTTGCCAGCTCTCCCCAGCCCTGCCAACCACTAATCTGCTTTCTGTCTGTATGGATTTGCCTATTTTGGATATTACATATAAATGGACTTATACATGTTATTGTGTCTTGTTTCTTTCATTTAACATGGTATTTTCAAGGTTCATCTATGTTGTAACATGTTCAGTACTTCATTCTCTTTTAAAGAGGAATAATATTCCATTCTATGACTCTACCCCCTTTTGTTTATTCATCTGTTGACAGACATTTGGATTTGTTTGTTGATGAACATTTGAGTTGTTTCTACCTTTTGGCTATTGTGAATAGAGCTGCTATGAACATTCACTTACAAGTTTTTGTTTGAACTCCGTTTCTAATTCTATTGGGTATACCTGGGAGTGGAATTGCTAGGTCTTATGGAAATTCTATGAGCAACTTACTATGGAACCAGCAAACTTTTCTGCTGCAGCTAAACCATCTTTACATTTCTGCAAGCAATTTGTGTTTCAGTTTCTCCACATAATCACCAGCACTTGTTATTTTCCACTTTTTACAATCTTTTTTTTCCTTTATGGCCATCGTAGTGGAATGCAAAGTGGCATCTCACTGTGGTTTTGATTTGTGTTTCCCTAGCAGCTAATAATGTTGTGCATTTTTTAATGTGCTTTTTGGCCACTTACTTGTCTTCTTTGGAAAAATCTCTGTTCAAGTCTTTTGCCCATTTTTTGATTGGGTTATTTGTCTTTTTGTAAGTGTTCTTTATATACTCTGAATACTACACCCTTATGTAATATATGATTTGCAAATATTTTGTCTCATTCTGTATATTGTCTTTTAACTCTTTTGATAATGTGTTTTTGATGAACGAAAGTTTCTAATGATGAAGTCTAATTTATCTATTTTTTTGTTGTTGTTTTTGGTTTTCATATCATATTTAACAAAACAGTGAGACTTCCAAGGTCATGAAAATGTACTTCTATAATTACTTCTAAGGGTTTTATAATTTTTTGCTCTTTCATTTAGGCTTTTGATATATTTTGAATTACTTTTTTGTATATGCTGTAATGTAGGGTCCAACTTCATTCTTTAGCAGGTGTCGATCCAGTTGTGTTGAACTGGATATACGTTTTGAAAGGACTGAACTTTCTCTGTTGACACCCTTGTCAAAAATCAAGTGACATAGACCCATAGATGTTAGTTAGTATCTAGTTTAATGGGTCTAAATACGAACCATATTCTGAAGACTCTCTGAATTACATTCCTGGCCAGCACCTCTATGCCAAACTTCAGATTCATATATCTACCTATACTACAGCTTCATTTGATGGTGTTATGAACCGAATTGTGCCCTACACCCATTCATATGCTGAAACCATAACCCCCAATGTGACTATATTTGGAGATAGGGCCCTTAAGGAGATAATTATGAGTAAATGTGTTTATAAGAGTGGTGGCCTAATGTCATAAGATTGGAATCCTTATTAAAAGAGGGAGAAATACTAGCTGTCTTCCCTCCCTCCCTACCCCACTCTCTCCCTTTCCACACATGCACAGAGGAGAGGCCAGATGAGGACACAGCAAGCAGGCAGATGGCTACGATCTGGAAGAGAAGCCTCATCAGAAACCAACCCTGAGGGCATCTTGATTTTGGACTTCCAACCTCTAGAACTGTGAGAAAATACATTTCTGTTGTTTGCCACCACCCAGTTTGTAGTATTTTGTTTTGATATCCCG